ATGCAGCACATTTGGATTGTATTACTGATGTCAGTCAGCTCACCATAGTGCTCACAATTATTTCAGACCATTTAATGCCTTTTAGCAGATTATGCTAAACAGATAAAACTAAATCACTTTCCAAGATGACTTCAAATAAAAAAGTGAATGTTTTAGTACTTTATCCCCTTACAGTTTTCTAGGGATATGTTAGACAGCTCAGTACTTCCATGCTTGAAGTGCTTTAAAGATTCCTATCAGCTGAGACGGAGTTGAATTTCTTCACATTACCTGGTATAATGCTTTCTTTTGGCTTTAGGAAGACAACAATGTTGGTATCAGACTAAGGTTTTAGTAGTTGCTGAGTAGTGCTGTACAGAACAAAGGTTGTTCCAGTTTTTCAGCTTCTCATACTGTTCTGCCAGGGAGGGGGGGTCTGGGTAGAGGGAACAAGAAGGTAGGAGGGAACAGAACCAGGCAGCTGACCTACACTAGCAAAAGATATATTTCATGCTATATGGCATCATGCTGAACTATAAAAACAGGGAGTTGGCTGGAGGTGCAGTTGCTGCTTCAGCATTGGTTGATGGGTGGTGAGCAATCGCGCTGTGCATCACCTGTTTTTCAAGTATGTATTATATACATATATTATCATAATTGCTATTATTTCTTTCCTTCTTTTCTGTCTTAGTAGATAGTTTCACATCTGAGTCTGTGCTTCAGATGCTGCAAATGGCACCCACTGCGTGGAGTAAATCAAACTGAACCTGAGCGAGCCTGGTCTGGCAGCACCGCCTGACTGAACTACAGAGAGATTGATTGGCACCCGCAGCGTTCTGCAGGACAGAAGGCGAGCAGCCAGGAACTATGGGGAGCAACGAGTAAATCTTGAAATATTACAGAGAAAGTTTCCGAATCAACCTGTATTTACCTCAGCATTAGCTATTTTTCTTAAATAGATAAGCCGGAATGCACTGTGTTTCTGATAACTGGCTTTTATTTTGATGGGGAGCTTTGAGTCAGAATTGGCATAAAACTTTGGGATCTTGCAACTACTGCATATAAAACAGCTGCCAAACTTCTATCTGTTTGGCTCAGGCAAATTAGCCAAGGAAGAAGGGCAAACTCTTCTGACTGTTACCCATTGCCCTTCTCTCCTTCCTCCCCCACCACTGCCCCTTGGCGCAGGAAGCAGCTCCTGCCCGGACCCGATCCGCGACTCCAACCCCATCCCTGGCAAGAGAGAGGAAAATCGCAGTCCCCGGACAGGGCCGTCGTGGCTGCGAGGCACCTGCAGCCCTGTGGCTGCAATCCATTTCCCTTCTATGGCTGCCGCTGTCTGCTCCCCACGGTTGCCCTGCTTCTGCAACCCGCGTGTAGTTTGGTTAAAGATGGAACAGAACCTATCCATTAGCCTTTTTTTAACTTGCAGAGAGAAATCCTGGAAAGGAAACCTAGGCAAATGGATGATGCTGTACTATAGAATGATTAACTCTCTTTCATCCCACTGATCAGGATTTTAAAAATATGACCATGCATCACTCAAGACAAAGGTGCATGCTATCTTATTTTGAGTCAACATATGATTCTAGTATAGAATTCTGGAATACCGCCCAACTGATTTTTTAGTTCACTAATCCCTTCTATTGGCACCTGTATCAGAAACTTAAAGGTCACAGAATCACAGAATCGTAGGGGTTGGAAGAGACCTCCAGAGGTCATCGAGTCCAACCCCCTGCCAAAGCAGGTTCCCTACAGCAGGTCACACAAGTAGGTGTCCAGGTGGGTCTTGAATATCTCCAGAGAAGGAGACTCCACAACCCCCCTGGGCAGCCTGTTCCAGTGCTCCGTCACCTCACCTAAAGAAGTTCTTGCGCACATTTGTGCGGAACTTCCTATGCTGCAGTTTCCGGCCGTTTCCCCTTGTCCTGTCTCCACACACTGCTCAAAACAGTCCGGCCTCGCCATTCTACCCCCACACCTTAGATATTTATAGACCTGGATCAGGCCCCCTCTCAGTCTTCTTTTCTCAAGGCTGAACAGACCCAGTTCACTCAGCTTTCTTCATAGGAGAGATGCTCCAGGCCCCTCACCATCTTTGTGGCCCTCCGCTGGACTCTTTCCAAGAGATCCCTGTCTGTTTTGTACTGGGGAGCCCAGAACTGGACGCAGTGCTCCAGATGAGGCCTTACCAGGGCAGAGTAGAGGGGGAGGATCACCTCCCTCCACCAAGTCCTTGATGGAAGAATGATCTTGGGATGAAACAAAGTATTCTGATACTTTTAAGGGAACTGATATTTGTGTCTATAGCTGACAACATTCTGTTTCATAGAAAGAGCAAACTTTGGTAAGAGCAAAGAGCAAAACTTTGTTTTGCAAATGGGTACACAGGTACACAATACACTTGGGCTGTGTATCACGCACTAGCCATGTGGATGTGGTGTACAAATGCAAAAACCTTGCAGACCGAGAAAAACAAAAGCAGGAGAGTCTGTGATGGGTGAGAGAATGTTTTTCCCGATAGGCTTCAAAATCTTGCACTGTCTATCCATTTCCCAAGAGATGGTTCAGCACATAAAAAGCCATCTACCCTTACATTCAGTATTTAGGTAATTTTATTGGCTAATGAAATTAGACTTTGTTGATCTGGTCCACCTCAGTCGGTAGTATGTATATTCCTAGTCAGTAATTGTCCTTGCTGTATTTCTCTATTACTTTTAATGCTTCTGGTTTCCTACAATGCTTTGCACTTTTACAGGTGTGTTCAATATTCATGTATTTCTTTTGCTACGCCTCTCTTTATCAGCTGTCCAAAAATCTGAAATTATTAGCAATTATTTAATATTTTTTTTGGTGTACTGAAATACACATTTACTGAATCTTTCCCTTAGTCTCTGTATGAGCAGCTAGAAATTCCGGAGCCTGACTTTTGTCTCCTTTCTAGAGCTGCTATGGGATTACCATTTTCATGGATATATCCAAGAATTTTAGCTTCTGTCCAGGTACGCATGATATAGAACTAATAATCTCCTACCACAATGAGCAGAGGGCTAACATTATTTTCAAGAAAAAATACAGTTAATTTTTGCTCATGTGTTTTATCCAAAGAATCCAATAAAGATCAGATACTTTTTCCCCAAGAGAAAAGGGTTTCAGACCTACTTTTTATAACAAAGGCAAGATGCCCTTAACTTTATCGTTTGCTTTTGGATCTCAAAACCTTGCCTTGTTCGTTATTTTTCTTTCAAGTTTCCAGACTTGCATTTCAAAAAGCTAGCTTGTCTCCCACTGTGTTCATTTCCCTCCTAGCTTAATTTCAAATTACAAAGGAGAGAGAGGAAAGGCAGAGAATACCAGGATTGTAGTTGCTTACAAGAGAAAAATATGATGCTGAATTCCTGGGGAAGAAAGTGAGTATTTCCAAGCTAAGGAATCTTAGGATTCTTGTTTGTCCCTGTGTATAAACTACTAATGTGATTTTTGTCTAAACAATACAGGATTAATGTCATTATCAGGTATTACCATGACAGTTGACAGAAGATGCTGACAGCAACAAGTTTAAACCAACAGTGAAAACCATCCCTTAGTTAAAGTCTGCATTAAGTTGTCTAAAAGGCCTGCATCCTGCATTTACCCTTTATTTTTGAATGCTCAAATCAGCCTCAAGTTATCAGTGGTAATGCAGACTGACAGTCAGGAATCATAAAACCAGAATGTAAAAAGTTTCCAGCAAACCCAAACAGCTGGCAATCTCTGATTTCTATTTAAACATGCAGGCTGTTAATTTTTTCAAGCTGCAAAAAAATACTCATGCTCATTGAGGACACTTCTGAAAGCAAGCATAATGCACAACATTTCAAAGCCACTTAAGGAAAAGATTAATTAAAAGAATTAAAAGTCTTTCCAGTCCAAATAAGTATTCTGTAAGCTAAATTTGGTATTCTCCAAGACTCTGCTGAAAATAATTTACTGGGGCCAGCAAAGTGCTGCACCCACAGGCCCACCACAAGTGAGTTGCTCCTCACAACCAGATTTTAACCAGCTGCACTTTAGCTCCACTGCCCCCTCATTCTGCTGCCTCATCTATCCATTTAGTCATGCAATTAATGATCACAGTCACAAATTAACTCCTGTGCCTACAGTCATTCCTGCAGATACAGTGCTTAGAAGTTACTAGTACAATGTCTGCCCCATGGATTTAAATCTATAAGCCCAGATCATATTAATATTTTACTCAAATTGCAATAAGCATGTACGGTGCAGGGCACTGTCACATTCATTTGCGAATGTTATTTATTGCAATGAAAAAAGCTTTCTGTGATAAAAATGAGAAGTTAGTTAAGCTTATAGAAACGCTGATATCAGGAAAAGCTTTTTTCAAGCAAATGAATCACTGTTAAAGAAGGCTCTTTGGTGCTTAGATTTGCCATTAATTTAAATCTTAGAAGCAGAAGCTCCTGCAAGATTTTTCATATGCATTGTTTTATGACTCAATAAACGGAGTAAGACCTGAAAAATCTGAAAAAATAATACATCTTAAATAAATTATCTTGATGATCCTATCTGGATCCCCATCGAAATAATCTATGCCACTCAGACCACCACAGAACTCCATCAGACACTTCTGTCAGAAACTGCTTCATACCACCTCTATGTTTTGGGTTTTTTTCTCCTCATAGTGCAGGCATCCTTTTACTCAACATGCAAAGGACTGTGTGTTAAATGCTTACATTACTGGAATCTAATTAAATTTGAAGTTTTTTTTTCATTTATAATCAAATTTCCAGAAGTACTGAAATTTGCTTTCATACCTCTTTGATTTCTGAATTCCTCCCCTCTTAAAAAACCCAAACCAACTTTTTTCAAGGCAGGAATGCAGAATATGTTATCTTCTGTCCACCTCCCTGCAATATATTTTCAATTAAGGTTCTGTTCCTACAAATTACAACTAAAATGATCTCCTAATGTTGGAGACCTACAGGGTGAGGATGGATGAAAGGTCAGGTATTCACAGCACTTACTGGTTGAAGCAAATAAATCAGCGAGCTCTCCTGGATAACTATCACTGGAAAAGGGGTGATATTTGTTGCATGAAAAAGTGTTTCCACTGATGCCATTGTTTGGTCAAAGCGTCCTCCAAGTCCACCCAAAGTCACAATCAAATCAATCTAAAAGACAAAACAAAAGTCACCAAGAGAACTATCATCAAGATACCTCCACAGATGATCTTTAGATCCTGAAAATCAAAAACTGAATCACTTTGATAAGAAAAAAAGTAACAAAAAAAATACATTGACTATACAAAAGCAGATCTCAAATACAGCCATTTTCTTTCATTACTAATGAATACCATTAAGCAATTCTTGGAGTATTTAAGCTCAGTAAATTCACAGTCAACATGTGGTACTTTAATGAAGGACCTAATTGCTTTGCCTAACACAGAGACCAGTCCTAGCAGACACCTATCTGTTTAGCTCAACTGCATAGATAAGATATATCCCTTCACACCTTAGGATCTTATATCTGCAGATCTTAAAAATTGCTTCAGATCATTCTCACAGTCTACAGAGAAGATAAATCATTGGTACGCTGTATGCCATTCTTGCTCCCTCTGCAGAACATGTTAGCATACAAACTCACACTCAAGCTGGCTCTCCTCAAGACTAATTGCACTACTGCTCTGAAGAGATTGCACGCACCCTGCAACTGCTGTATCTCCCAGGTGTTGCTGCTAGGGACAGAAGCAATCCTTGATTGAGCCCCAGGCCATGGAGTCAGCCAGCAATTTTGAGTCTCAAACACCTCATAAAGCCTCTGTACACTTTTACTTCTTACAAGCAGAGAGGGAACATTTAAGAGCTTTTAGTTCCTCAGATAGAAAGTCACTGAGTGCAAAATATTTTTATTACTTCCACCATGCAGGTCAAGTACATTCAGTAACTGTAATTTCAAAAGCTACCATTTAGTAAGTAGTATGCAGAGCCCAAACACATTGCAGCTCTAAAGCTTTTAGAAGCTCCAATGACAATAGCCATCTGGTGAAGTTTTCTGCTTTACAAGGCCTAAGCCTATGGCCACTCTGAGGGGCAGGGAATGATGCATATGTATACTTCCACATTTTGAAGTGTAATATAAGTTGCAGTGGGATTGCCAGGTCACAGCCTGAACCAACGACTGAGCACCAGATGAGAAGATGTGGCTAACCTAGTGAGCTCAGGTGCAAGCAAGGCACCTGACTGACAGGAAGGGATGGAGCCTGGATCCATCCCTTCACCCCTCATTTAAGGGCTAGCAGCGTTTCTCTGAATAGAGATTGTACTCAAGAGCTGTTATTGGTTGTTGGATGGGATGAACAATTTTTTTTTCTTCTTTATTACTTTATTAAATGCTATTGCTCCATAGCATTTGTATCCTTGGAAAGCACTCTCATCACCTTCTTTTGCATAAGTGATACAGAAATCCTACTCCTTATTCAGTAGCAATTGCACAGTGATCTTGGGAGCTGGTAATAAATGTAAGAAAATAAAACCAATATATCATGGAACAGATCTGTTGAAAATAATGGCTTGAGAGGGATGGGACCTTAAAGATCACCTAGTTCCAACCTCTCTGCCATGGGCAGAGTTGCTAACAGCTAGATCAGGCTGCCCAGTGCCATATGCATCCTGGTCTTGAACACCACCATGGAGGGGTATACACAACTTCTCTGTTCAATCTGTTCCATTGCCTCACCACCTCCTAAGTAGAAGAAGGGGTAAATGAAATCTCTTATCCTGCTTGCCACCCCTCTTTTGATGCAGCCCAAGATGCAGTTGGCCCTCTGGACTGCAATCACATGCTGCTGGCACACGTTCAGCTTTCCATCTGCCAGGACCTCCAAGTCCTTCTCAAGTCCAGGTAGATGACATTAGTTCCTCTTCCTTTGTCTACTGATGCCATCATTTCATCATATAACAACACCAGATTAGTCAGACACAATTTGCCCTTGGTAAAGCAATGATGGCTGTCACAGATCACTTTCTTATCTTGCATGTGCCTTAACATAGCTTCCAGGAGAATCTGTTCCATGATTTTCCCAGGAACAGATGTGAGGATCCCCAGCCTCTAGTTCCCTTTCTCCCTTTCTTAAAAACAGGAGTGATGTTTCCCCTTTTCTGGTCACAAGGGACTTCACATGAAGGCCATGATTTTTCAAATATGATGCAGAATGGCTTGCCAAGTACATCAACTAATTCCTTCAGGACCCTGGGATGCATATCATAAGGCCCCATAGACTTGTACAAACACATTGGTAAAAACTGAGGTTTGTGGTTGTGGTATGTTTGGAGAAGAATAAAAAAGATACTATAAAAGGAAATGTAGCTATTATTCTGGTTTCTTTGTTCCTGTAAAATAGAAAAATATGTCTGTGACAGGTATGGAAACAAAACCAGCTAGAGCACCCCAGGAATGGGCAGAGAGAAAAGCTGAATTCTACGCTTGGGTGACAGCAGACAGTTTGCGTTTCACTGCAGAGTCCTGGAGGCAGTGATGGACATCCAGATATTTTGGGACATAAAACCTCTGCTGGAAGGTTTAGGATACACAATTTGTTTATTTATTTAACAAACAGACAAAGAGGCTTACTCCAGCAAAACCTCAACAGATTTTTCATCTTAAAGCTATCACCTCCATTCAAAAAAAGCAAATCTGCAAGCTAACAAAACAATCTGCTTCTTCCCTGCAATCTCTGATTCTCATTCCACCAAGCACTAAGGAAACTGGACAGAATGTGAATGCACATGCACGAATCTTTGTAATCCCACCGAATAAGAAAAAGTGAAAACCCAAGCACAGAGCATTTATAGATTTGCCCACTACTGAGGAAAGGCCATTCATTTTTCCCGTATGAGGCTAGAGAATTATACCCAGCTCCTGCCCAGCAGGTAGCACTTGACTAACACACTGCACTTCAATTGAAATATCCATAATTCACTTAAATGTCCTGTAAAAAGTCCTTTTACCCCTTTTTGTTTTCACACAGTGATATTCATTTCCAGAGAAAAGGTGATAATAACTGCTAAGAATATCAAGATCCTAGCAAGAACAAGTGTAAAGTGGGCTGCATTCTATTAAGACTTTATAAAGCCTGACTTAAATTCCTTCTACAGCATTTTTAGTGCAATCAAGCTTCATTTCATAAAGAGTTGAAGTTCTAATCATGGGATTTGTCATCTTTAAATTAAATTTATACATCAGCATCTTTTGAAATGGCTTTAGGCATTGCAGTGGGGCTGTTAAAGGAAAAGAGAAGCACAAAGAAACACTCTGCACGTGGCACTTTGGATTCTTCTTCCTTCCTTGCTTTCTTCTGCCTTAGGGTATAATTTAGAGCAGGCTGTAACCTTGAGGTTACTGAGGGTGCCATCACATCAGTGTGAGGCTGCTCAGCTCCCTGCTTCCATTTCCACAGAGACTACAAAAATACACAATTTGCTATAAATTGTCTGCTGGCTTGCTAAACACTCTTCTTCCACGGAAAATGGGCTCAGCAAACATCTCTCTTTCTGGTATGGGTGGATTAAATGAGAAGACTTTACTTAGAAAAGTGATGGACAAGTTATTTAAGGAGAAGGGTGAAAGGACAGAAGAAGCTGGGAACTGCCTCAGGTAGGTGAAAAGAACTTCATATCCTGCTTTGTAACACAAGCATCACCACGCCATCCAAGAGCAAAGCCTCAAAGCTCAAACTGACAGCAAAGGATGCCCACTCTCTTTAAAACTGTGCTCCTTATATCAGATAAGAAACTTATATCAGATAAGAAATCGGTAGCACTGGAACAAACAACAAGAAAGACCATCCTAAAGGAAAGAGGGAAGGCAAGAACAGCATGTCATGAAAGCTCTGGAGCCATAAACCTTCCTCCCTGTGAGACCAAGAAGACCATCCACTGCTATTATCCCACATATTTCTATGCCAATTACAGATCAGATACTGCATTTGAACACCACTTCTTATCACCTCCACTCTTCATTGGTATCTTGTCACCTTCATTACTTCATTTCCTAACATTCAAAAGTCTACTGCTTTAATACAAAATACTGGAGGGAGATGAAAGAGAACAAATTTATTGTAGCAGCATGCATATATTGAAGCATATTTTATGCTGAAAAGTAAACACTTAAATAGTGGTGTGAATGTTGTATTTACTATTCAGTTTGACACTATAAAGGATGCACATACCAACATGAGCTATCACCTTGGAACCCAAGCCTGACAGGACAGTATTAAATGACTGCTTGAATGATTAAAAGAGAGAAAAAGGAAGCAAGAAAGAGAGCCTTCCTCATCAACCTACAGATATCCTTGGATCAATAGAATGCTGCTGGAATCTATGGTGGTGATTACATCCTGCTTTTTATAAAGAACTTTCACTTCTACTTCCCGTCTTTTTGCTATCACTCACCTTCCCTTTCCTATCTCCCTAACTATGAATTTGTAGTAAACTGGGAGAACATTTGCCCTCTTTTAGCATCTCCATCTCACTCCAGGTATACAATACAAATCACCTTTACTCCAGTAACTGGAGCGAGGCAATTGGCTTTCTAGTGTCTTACACGAAAGGCATGGCAATTATTTCCTACAGGGATGATATACACAGTTACATAGCAGTGTCTGCACTTTGCTTAGATGGGATCCTCTTCTCTAGCAGCAATTTGCTTGTTGCTTTGGTCATCTGACTCCTCAGGAAACAAGAGCCTGTCAGCTAAAGGCTGTCATCCTGTCTGTGGGTCTGAGATGGTATCCTATCATCTACTACTTCTGTCACAGCGGGAGCACTGTGTGGACTTCCAAGGATTGCCAGGCTGCCTCAAACTATTTGTAAAGAGATAAACTACTGTATGACCCATCTCCTTCCTTTTGGCCAAGACTCAGAACTTATGGCTGAGGATCGGGATAAGCTGAAGGCTACCAGAGGCCTCGGGGCTGCAGAGTACATGAGGGCTTGGGCTGCAGGCTGAATCACTTCTGTTGAGCACCATCCACTTCTCATAACATTCTACTTTGCAACAACGTCACTACTTGCCTACTTCCACCCCTACATTCCCATTCTAGACAAGAAAAAAATGAAAAAGAAAAACCCACAATGGCTTCAAAAGATTTAACTAATATTACAATTTCACTGTGTCTTTTGATTATTCAAATGCCCAAAGGTACAAAAATTGGAAAAATATAATGGGAGAAAAAAAAAAAAAGAGTGCTCTATGCAGTGCTTAGGTTAAATAAGTTTCCTTGAACAGGAAATTCCCACAAATCCATCATTTATTCTTGACAAGATTCTCAGACAAATAGTAAGATATCATACTGAGTCGAAAAAATTGCACTGGCTATTGTAATCTTCAAACCTTTTTTTTAATATGCTTAATTATAAAAATAAACCTACATCCCATTATCTAAGCGTAATTTCCTAAAAACACTCATGCTACAAAGAAGACATTCCTAACATTACAGTGCTTATGTATTAAACAAAACAAGAACCGAAAAAATGTTATTTATGAACATTTCCAGCAACAAAATGGGCTCTTGGTCCTCAAGCTGCAGACAAATTCTCTGTGTCAAAACCCATGGCTCCTCAAAATTTCCTTCTAGAGCTTCATTAGCAAGGCTTGGTCAGCACAAGTGCAGCAGACTTTGAGAATACCAGTGTACTAATGCAGCCCAGCCACCTTCCCAGCATGGAGACCTTTCCATCAGGAGCAGCTGCTATCAGAAAAGCAGAACAAGCTGTGCTGTTGAAGGCAGAGGAGCTGGACTGATTTAAAATTTGGTAGCAAAAAAGAAAAATCACAATTCCTGTTATAAACAGGAAAAAATTGGAGATTACAAGAGGAAGAGTAAACCACTCCTAGTAACCTCATGTTTTATGTTTCAAACCTATTTATTCTTTGACTAAACTGAGATACTGGCGAATTGTCAAAAGCCTTGGATAATGAGTGTATCTCTGACCTCTCTATCCCCTAAATTGCCCTAATAAACTGTAGTTTTCTCTTTTGCTCTTTCTGTCACCAAAATTTGACATGGGGTTTAGCTTTGTTTCAACAAGCAGAAACCAATGTATTCTATATATATATATATATCACTACGCTCATGCCTTTTTCTGTTAACTCATCTTCACAGATCAAATACAAGCCCGGAAGAGAATACAAATAAACAAATTCCACTTCTTAATGAAGAATGCTGCTGCAACCGCCTGTGAGTGAGACTGGGGAGTGTTAGGGCAAGATCACCACATGAAGATTGGGAACTGGAAGATTATCCCCGACTGTGCTGCTGGCACACTGGGAGACTGCAGAAGTTGTTTCTACACCTCTGCTTCCCGATCCACAGAACAGGTTTCACTTTTTATCTCACTTTCAATGTAAGATCTGTTCATCTCTAAAAAGAATACTGTAAGCAAATCTATCTTTTTTGCCAGTTCAGATAGTGTTTTGTAATAGTTTGTGTTACATAAGAGAAAGCTAAGAACATAACACAGTTACTGAAATTATTGAAAATAAGTTTATTTGAAGGTCTTGTAACAAAGAAACAAAAACTATGTCACATAAACATAGAATGAATAGGATACTGATTAAAGCAATAAAACAAAAAATGCATACATAAGATTGAATAGACAATTAACGGTAGAAGAAACAAATGTCAGAAAACAGAGCTACTGAGACATTAAAAACAAAACAAAACACACACACAAAAAAAACAGAACACAGAAGGAAGGTATGCTGTCAGAAAAATTGTGGGTACATATACAACCTACATGCATGCATGTGTTCACCCGTACTCACAGTCATACAGAAAGCAATACATGTAGGTTGTTCTGTAAGTAATGCCTCCGATTTATTTCCATGGAAACTACAACAGATACAAAGAGCACACAAGAATAAAATTTGATAGAACAAATTCTCAGCTACAAAACACTATTTTTCAACATAGTCATCACCATAAGTTATGCATGTTTTGCCAGCAATGAACAGGCATTGCATGCCTGCTGCACTAATAAAAATGTTCACTGGCCATCTGGAATGAGAAGTGTAATTCACACTGCTGTTGCCACTGCTGAAATGCACCTCCCACCATCTCACTATGCAAACATCCTCTGTTTGGTCTCCACAAATGTTCAGCAAATGTCAGTGCATGTAAATGGGCACAATTTTTTCTGCATGGAGGAATTCAGTTCCACACCTTTGCTTCATACACACTTCCATGTCAGACACCACTTTGTCAGACTGCCCCCCTGCTGCCATCTGTTGCACAGCAACGAAATGGAGTATTGGCTCAACACCTACTGCCACACCACAAACATCCACCTTTGACATCATAAACCAACATAATAAAGTGAGAGGCAGTATTTTCAGAACAGCCCTTGTATAACAGCCTTTATGTTAGTTCATGGTACTTCACTGCCTCACCACCCATCCAGCACAATTCAGATCACGAATGAATTAGCACTGTGAAAGGGAAAACTAGGACTGATTCTAACTTTCATAAATGCAGGGTACTGCTTGTTCAAACATTCATTGTAGTGAGTATAAATGTACACAGGTGACTCAGGTATTGTAAAGTGATCCTAAAACTGCTTCCTTGCACGTCTTGGCTAACCAAGCAAAATATGATACTGCATTTCGTAATGGAAATCAGAAATGAATGACTTTGAGGACTCAGACACTTTCTAAGAGTTTTCCTTTAAGAAAGGGAAGAAGTAATGATGAACTTGGCAAATTAGAACTTCGCTGTCTTTTAGAAGACAGCATTACCACTGTTCATTATCAATCAAGCAGTTCAAGAACTAACAAGGTGTTTTTTCCTACCAGATCTGAGTAAACTGTCAACTCCAGTTGTACTCTTCCTTGTGGTAAAAGCATTTTTAAGGCTTCTTCCCAAACTGAATTCTCCAGTAGCTAGTAAAATCTGAACTCACTTTGCAGCCTTCTCTTCTTAGGGGGTACAGAGCATCTCTCTCACCTCGCCTCCCTCTCAAGTGACCACATGCAAGAATGCTGTACAACGTAATTACCTTTCAACATGCTGTTCCTCTGTTCACATTTGTTCGCAAGTGATCTGGGTGAGTGAGAATGAAGAGGAAAAGGAGAACAGATGTGCAGAAATGGAAAACAAACCATCAGAACTTAATTTGTTTGGAACAAAACATTCCCCCATAAACTCCCAAACACTCAAAAACCTTCTCAACAGAGGTGACTAATAGACCAGAGCAAAAATTCTATCTATCCAGTGTAGCAAATAAATGATACCTTACTTTCTAACGAACTGAAGAACATCAGTTTCAAATATTTCAGCGTCTTGCAATGGAATTTCATCCAGAGAAACTATGTCACTGGATATAGGTCCACAATATGTGCTGATTTAACTTAATTTCCTAGCTTAACATATTGCTACCTAGAAAGAGCAGCAAACACAGCACAACTAAAATCTTTTTCTTTCCTTTTTTTTTTTTAATTTTAAAATACATTTATTTGTTTAATTTTAATACTGAAGAGATAGTTTCCTTGTCTAGTAATTTCAAGTATAAATTATTGGGAAACAGGCTTGTAGTGTAGTGTATCTGAATAAGACAATAGGTAAAAATCAGAGCTGCAGAAATACAATTTCATTCACCTGGAACTAGAAAAACATATTCCACCTAGGTAATATTCTAAGCTAAAAGCTTTTATGATATTTTTTCCCGAAGGAGAAAAAAATCCACATTCTAACATGCAAGTTTGTATCTCAAGCCGTAAATGCAGATGCAGGTGAATAACTTCTTTCTCCACTTCTAGACCCTGAACCAACTATGGTTGATACAACACTTGCAGCAGACTTTGTGGATGTTCTAACCCCTGTTACAGACCCAGTGCCTGCTCCAGGCCCTGAAATGGATCCTGTGGTTGCACCAATTCTTGTGAATGGGCCTTGCGGTTGCCTAATCCTTTTGACAGGCCCTGCGGTTGCCCCAACCCTTGTGACCCACTCTAGTCACTTCAATCCCTGTGACAAGACCCACAGTTCAACCAGAGAACAAGCCAGTGCCAGTATCATTTGCCCTTATAAGCAAAAGGAAGTAATGTCTAGAAAAGTCAGATCATTTAATAAGGAGAGAAATTCCTATAAAGACAGAAGAAGATGAAGATGAAAGAGGGGCATCACAAGAATGGGAGAAGGAAGGAGACGCAGAACTTATAAAAGAGACAGAAACCATCTGTCCCTAAAACTGAGTGAGATATGAAATATGTGAAAAGATTACAGTATTGTCCAGATGAACATGTTGTCACCTGGCTGCTCCAGTGCTAGGATAATGGGGCTAACGACCTGGATTTAATTGGCAGTGAAGCCAAGCAGCTAGGCTATCTTTCTAGGGAAGGTGGCACTGACAAAGTGACCGGAAAAGGGATACAATCCTTCACTCTATGGTGGTGGCCTTGTAAGCTGTGAAGAAAAGATAGCCCTTCAAAGAAAATCTGGAATGTTACCCAGGCAAATGGACCACCATGGAGAAAGGTATCCAGTATTTGCGGGAATTACCTGTGATAGAGATGGTATATGATACTAACCTGGATGATAATATGCCATCTCAATATACAGATAAAGTCAAATGCACGCAATTTATGTGGCAGAGTTTTATGGAGTGCACCCATCATTGCATGCCAGCATCTTGGCATGAGTGATCTGGAAAGATAACAAACAACCAACGGTAGATGAAGTGGCTAGTCTACTTTGACAGTATGAGGAAAATCTCTCTTCTTCCTACAGGTCTGTGTCTCAGCTGAGGAGAAACTGGTTCAATGACTTCAGAGAGGTGCCTGAGAAACTCTCCTATCTTCATCTATACTAATGGCAGAAAAAATAACTAATGATTAACAGTGTGTACTGGACACCGTGCAACAGCACTCTGAATCATAGAATCACAGAATCATAGAATCACAAAGTTGGAAATGATCATCCAGTCCAACCATCTCCTCATCACCATTGCCACCACAAGCACTAAACCACGTCACGCAGCACGTCATCCAGTTGCCTCTTGAACACTGCCAGGGACGGCAACTCCACCACCTCCCTGGGCAGCCATTCCAGTGCCTGACCAATCTCTGAGAGAAAAAGTTCTTCCTTATGTCCAACCTAAACCTCCTCTGATACAACTTGCGGCCATTACCCCATGTCCTGCTTGTTGCCTGGGAGAAGAGGCCAAATCCCTCTTCACCACAACCTCCCTTCAGGAGGTTGTAGAGTGGAAAGGGTTCCATGGATACATCTCATTCACAAGATTCAGACATTTCAAAACAACTTCAGCAAAACATGGGTAATTATGCATCAGCTTGGAGTGAGGAGGAAAAAAAAGAGTGAGAGATATTGACATTTCTATTTCTTGCTGCCTTGATGGAGAAAAGAGATGTCAAACTGCCGGTGAACTTTCCTGTCTTGCTACAATGAAAATGGGAAAGGATGACATATACATGCCCTTCCATCTTGTGCTCTTGCATTCATTTTCTTATAAGCCTCTTGTCCTCAATGTTGGTAAGAGCATGTAACAGTTGCTTCCTCTCAACTCTTCATCCAGTGGTAGAGAGAGGAGGAGAGAGCTCAGCCCTTACGAAGGAATGCTCATGGGCAGCAATTCCAAGAGCATACCTGTCATCAGATCATCCTGTTGGAAATTCTTGAAAAACTGTAACTTTGCATCTCAGAGAATTGAAACAGGAGGGCTTCTGAAACCAAGCTACGGAAGGGGAGAGGAAATGGTGCCTTATATGCTTTTCAAATGAAAGGAGCAGCTCACAACTCCAAACAGATCTTTTCAGGCTTAGCGCACTGCTTTTTCTATAAAGGTTCTCTTGAATTTCAGGGGAACCTTTTGCAGAAGGAGATATTACTCACCATATGTTATGCTGACACAATAAGGTTCTCCTTCCCATCTCATCTTTGGGAGGAAATCAAGGAGATATGAACATTAAGGCTCAGCATGCCAAGACTTGAGAACATATTCCTAAGGTAGGGCTCTTACTTTGAACATCAGAGAGTCACAACTCTCTTCTGCATTTTGACTTGTTCGTTAACAAAAACCAATAGAAGCAGCCTTTTATGAAAACCAACAGTTGTGCATTGACACACTCCGTAATTCTATTCAGCAGAATCATCAATGTTTACAATGTGTGCCGAGAATATGGCAAAACCTCAGAATGGCTTTTGAAAATATTGCTTCATTTCAGTGCAAACATAAAAAATAATTCTAAGTATGTTGAGATGAACAGTAGATACAAATAAGAAGAGACAAAGTTGTGTCTTTACCTGGAGGCCCTTCTCTTCTATCTTTTTCTGGAGTATCTGAAGGCACTTGGTGAAGTCTGTTAAATCTTGATCCATGGTCTCAATTAACTCACATCCCTAGTGAGTAAACAGCAAAACAGAGAGAGAAAAATAAATTAAAGTTACCGCATTTTTCAGTTTTGAGAACTAATGCTATCTCTGCTGAAGTTAACTGCAGTTAGCAGCTCTTCAAGTCACTGCGTGGAGATGGAGAATTAAGTAAGAGACTGCTAGCCTTATAAAGACCGAAGACCCTAGATCCCAGCTGACCAAATTATGATGATCTAGATTTTTTACAGGCATAGGAACAGATATTCCAAACCCATAGAGAACATTCCTAGATGTGGATAAACATGTTCTACATTATGGGTGTCCAACATCTTGACTTGCCTGGGCCACACTGAATGAAAAGGAATTGTCTTGGGCTGCATACAAAATACATACTATACATACCATAGTTCGTGTATAAAAGTAACAAAACTTTGTGGTTTTTTTAAAGCATTTTCTCTTGAAACGTATAAAAAAGAGGGCATCAAAAACAAAAATTAGTAGAATATCTGACCCTGTTTTTGTGAAACTAATGCATCAGTGTCTTATTTGATGGAAGTGGTTACAATTCTTAACAAATTATCAAGATGCTCATCAGAGATTTTTGAACTAATTTTACTCTTCCTGTGCTTCATTCTTGAAAACACAAGATGTTCACATGTTCACAAGATGTTCACACGTTCACAAGATGTTCACAAACATACATCCTGATAAAAAGTGTTGACATAGCATGATTTTGAAATGAAGGATATCTTTCTCCAGCAAGACAGGCTTTATAGAAGTCTAGTGAAAAGACATGACCAAATTTTTCTCTGAGCTGAATGTTTAATTGCAACTCTATACATTCCACTTGAAAATTCACAGGTAATGTATTTATGTCAACAAAAAATGGAGTCATGAATTTTCCAAAAAAAAAAAAAGATGATTTTTTCAGAAACCTTGAAATGAATTTTCAAATTCCTTTATCAAAATGGAAAGCAAGGCTGCATATTTTTCACAGTTACAGGAGTGTGTTCAGCCAATGTATCAAAATGAATAAAATTATTTTCTGTAACTTGAGCTTGCCATCATTTAAGATTAATTTTGAATGCTATAATGGCCTGATATACAGCTCAGATAAGTTGATTTTCTCCTTGAAGTTCGATGTCTAACTCGTTTAAATAGAGTGATCAAATCCACCAAAAATGCTAATGAATGTGAGCTATTTTTCATCCTCAAGTTCTGGCACAGATTTTCCTTTTGATTCCACAATTACCTTAATTTCAGTTTGCAAATCATAAATTTCTTTTAACGTTTTACCCACAGTTAGCAACCTTACTTTGGAAAAGTAAATAATGTCCCCATAAACAGTATCTCTACTTCTACGGAACTCCTGGAACTGGTGATGATTCAATCACTTGGACTTTATGAAACTCACAGCTTTGACAATCATTTGCATGATATTATTCATTTTTAAAGCTCTCGAACATAAATTTTCTTGATGTAAGATGCAGAGATATTTCATCAAATGCAAGATGCTGGTGGCAACTACCTCATTTTCTGTTAGTTATTTAAGTTCCTCTTTTTTTACCAACCATTGCCAGGGCACCACAGGCACGCACACATGTAGGTAGGCCAAAATGTTATCATCAGCAATCAATGTTTTTTACTCATTAAGTGGCACAAGTGTACGTAACAGGCAAGACACATAGGTTTTAATTCAACAGAGTGTGTATGGCAGGCACAAAAGGTGGAGTTAGCACTGCACTAATACACTTTCTGTTGTCACCTATGCAGTCTGTACTCAAGCTACATGAAACTGATTCATGAAAAACATAAAAAAAAATCACATATCAAGGTTAAAAATTTACAATCTTGTGGGATTGCATTATTAGTTGTCCAGACACAAATGCAGTTTGTGGGATGTGGGTTGGACAAGACTGTTCTGCAGTGTTCTGTTGGATAGACAAAATCAGATATGGAAAGCTCAGGGTTATACAGTACTTCCAGGATCAAGTTCCAGAAAAAAAATTCCTCACTCTGGTCCTACAGTTACTATGTGTCTGGTACTTATATTGATTTGTGCATAAACGTATGTATAAAAAAGTGCTCAAGTTTCCCAGAATCAGCGAAGTTGTGAATTTACAGTGATTATAAAACAGTCACCTTGCAGTGGGTCATAAAATTGTGGAATCATGGAATGACCTGCATTGAAAAGGACCTCAAAGGACATCTAGTTTCAACCCCCTGCCACAGACAGAGTTGCCAACCAGCAGACCAGGCTGCCCAGAGCCACATCCACCCTGGCCTTGAATGCCTCCAGGGATGGGGCATCCACAGCCTCCTTGGGCAACCTGTTCCACTGCATCACCACCCTCGGGCTGAAAAACTTCCTCCTAATATCCAGCCTAAACCTCCCCTGTCTCAGTTTAAAACCATTCCCCTTGTCCTGCCACCATCCACCTTCACAAACAGCCGTTCCCCCTCCAGTTTATATGCTCCCTTCAAGTACTGGAAGGCCACAATGAAGTCTCTCCCGAGCCTTCCCTTTTCCAAGCTTAACAAACCCAGTTCCATCAACCCTTCTCCATAGGAGAGGTGCTCCAGCCTTCCACCTAGCCCATGGAGTTGTATACATTCAGTTTCATGAGGAGGTCTCAGATTTGTTCCACTGTTACTATGAGTCAGAATCCACTCCTCTCACCCTCACCTAGAGGTTCAGGGCAGACATGCAGAGGAGCCTGACCACCAGTGAAGACCGAGGCAAAGCTATTATTGAATACTTCAGCTTTTTCCATGTCTGAGGAAGCCAGTTCTCCGTCCTCATTTATCAGAGGGGGAATCTATGATCTTCTTTGTCTGTCTCCTCCTGCCTACATACCCCTAGAACCCCTTTTTATTTTTCTCATCCCTTGCCAAGTTCAGCTCCATCTTTGCCTTGGCTTTCCTGATGCTATTTCTGCACATGTTCAATGTCCCTATATTTTTCACAGGCTATACAACCCTGCTTCCACTTCCTGTACATTTCCCTCTTTTCTCTCAGTTGCAAGTCCTTGCTCAGCCATGCTGATCACCTGCCTCCTCTGCTCGATTTCTTCTGCTGGATGATGCAGAGCTCTTGTGCTCGCATAAGGGTGTTCTTAAAGAGCTGCCAGCTCTGTTCTGTTCCTATGCCCTTAAGGACAGTTTCCCAGGAAATCCCATCCAGCAGTTCCTTGAGCCAATGGAATTTTGCTCTCCTGAAGCACAGCGCCCTGACTGCTTTTTGCCAGGCCTGCATTCCTTGAGATCACAAAATGCACGAGGGCATGGTCACTACAGCCCAGGCTGCCCACGGTCTTAACATCTCTAATGCTCTCCTCTGTACTGGTGAGCACTAGGTCTTGTAAGGCTTAACCTTAGGTGAGTCCATCTAATACCAAGACCAGGAAGTTATACTCAACAGGCTCCAGAACAGATGAGAACATGTAGTAGTAGAAAAGAGTGGGAGGTCAAAGTTCTTAATTGAGTGCTAAAGCAATTCCTAAGCCTCTGATAAAGATCCGAGTAAGAAAAAGTGAAACTTATCTATAAAGTCACTATTCAAAGAGATTTCAAATACTCAAAATACGCCTATACCATTGTAAATTAAAACAAGAACAATATTTAGAGGTTTCCTCTGCTACCACTTCTTGGTCCCTTTAAAAGCCTCCTAGTTTTTCTCTTCACCTGACAGATTTTATGTTTCTGCTGTATACCATAACAACTGACAAGAAATAAACATTCAGAATACAGAATCTTTGTATGTGTGCTTCTGTATATAAAATACATTGTTTTGTTACACCAGAATAAAAATAGAACTTTCAGGTTGCCTTTGCCTCAATGGTGAAAATAAAGGTGTAGAAGATAAAATTTCCTAGATCGGTGCATGGACAGAGTCTAGAGGTTTGCATGCAACAAAATAATGAGTCTCCAGTAGAAAGACATAATGCTATTTCTAAAATGCTTCCCCACCCTATCAGGATGCATATAGAAATAAGCAAAGCTGCCGTGCAGTAGGGGATCTGGATGAAGAGAAAAGAACAAAGAGCAGATAATGACATGCTTTTTATTACACCCCTTCCTCTTGCTGCCTCCTCAAAACACTATAAAAGGAAAAACTGTCAATGGTGAAGCTGTAACTTTTCTGGTACATGTTATTGCTCCAAATGCTTTTTCAAGCAGTAGTAACAGACCTGATAAGTGGTAGCATGCCACAGATGTACATGTAATCTGAGGCTTCCCTTGCAAAAGCAGTACTGCTACAGCCATGGAGAGACTAAGAATGAAGCTGCAACCTGTATTCAGCACAAGAGTCAAAAAAGGTGAAGAGCTGCTGTGTCTTCACTCCTCACCAGGAATAGCCAAAATGTAACACTGATGTGGGGTCTGCAATAAACACTACTGTGCCCTCAAGTGCATTTATTATTTATTGGCACCAACAAGGGCAAAAAGTAACAAGATGTGAGAAACTGTAACAGACAGAGCCTCCCCAGTCTTGCAGAACAAGCTTTTTGGTTAGATGAAGAAAAAATCAGTGGCAGGGACAGCTAATGCTGGGCATGGGCAAAGAGGTGGAACGTGAGTTAACAGCTCTTAAATGAGCAGAAGAGAAGAAAACCATTTATATTTTTCCAGGACCACTCCTTGCTGGCAGAAGTGGTTCACAGGTGTTGGTTTATAAATAACTGAATAACCCCCTCCCTCCACCAGCACTTCTGAAATACTCTTTCCTGTAAGTGCTAATGAGCCCAATATTCTGCTTGGGCAGTCAGGTTTTGGCAGCTGCAGGCAGAATACAATTCTACTTTCCAGCCAGGAAAGACCGAACTTACTTAACTGTCCATATGTTTCAGAAGCGATGATTTACAACTTAAATTATTATTTATTATTTTTTGCCTTTACTATTAAGTACATTTCACTTGAAATTGGCTCTGGCCTGGCTTCTCAGGATGCTTTTCAACAGGTATTTGGAGGACCTCAGAGGCCAGGTAATTTCTGTGCAGTAGCTGAGAGGCACGTCAGGCTACTGA